CCCAAAACCCCAAAACCCCAAAACCCCTATTATTTACAAGGCTATTGAGGTTATAATAATAAATATGAAGTTCACAGCAATTGTCTGTTCGATTGTCTTATTTGTCTCAACAGCACAAGGCGCCCCAAAACCCCAAAACCCCAAAACCCCTGTTCAAAAAGATAGAATTGAATTGAGTGAAATTGCTACAAGTTCTATTGGAAAGATGGCTGCAAAGCCTCTGCTGCGCTTTGAAGGTTTGCACTGGAGAGCATCTCTTTTCTGTCTTGGGCATACATCTAGCGGATGAATAAAAACACTTACCTTATCGCGAGCATCCTTGTCTCCGTCTGTGTATCCGAATCCTGTTGTTGGATTGAAATTCTCTATTTGATCTGGAGGGACAATTCCGAGAGTGCTTGATCCGGCTGCTTCGTCCCATTCGATTGGGAAGTTGGTGACTCTTGGTTGATCGACCATGACGAGTCTACCTAGCTCATCAATGAGGGGAGGGTTTGGAGGGTTCTCGTTCAACTCATCTGTTCCATAGAGGACATTAACGTAATAGCCAACTCTGAAAAACTCGTTTCCATTGTAGCTGCAAGTGATCAAAATAGCGGTAACTCCTACAAGTTCCTCTGCTCTAATCTTAGTTGGGTCTGGTCCTGGAGCCTAAAGTGTATGATTTTTGGAGGGCCTTACCTCGATAGTGAATCTCATCGAACCCACTTGTTCGATTGGCATCTCAATGTCTTCTAAAACTTGGTCGCTTTCATCATTGTTGGCTTCGCCAATGTAAATGACTTTCCAAATGAGCTGCTTGAGTTCTTGCAAGGCTTCGAATGAAATCTCAACACAGATAGGGTCTGTGAACTTAGCAGTAGCATCTTTCATGATGACATTGGTCACGTTTATTAGGGACATCTTTAAAAAAATTTATTAAAATACCGCGATTTTTCAGTACAATCTTTGCACAAGGGGTTTTGGGGTTTTGGGGTTTTGGGGTTTTGGGGTTTTGGGG